GATACTTAAATATATAAACCTTCTGCTTACCTTTTCTATTGTTTATAACCAATAAACGTTTCGAACTGCGTGCAACAATAGTATACGACCTTGATCCTTATTTATAAATTGAACAGGTTGGATGAATTTTTATGTTAAGTTGGGTGGATGGACATTTCTCTATTTATTGATAATTTTGCCACCAATGTTCAGACAATAATAAATTTTAAATGTCATAATCCAAGTTTACTATTAGCTTTTGATCATAATTTGCATATAAATATTAATTTACATAATTGCAAAAACATTGAGCCGAGTTTAACTATAAGGCCGGACAAACTCGATATTTCGGTTCTTGTGACGCACCACTTCACATTTTTGAAAAATTGGGAAATGATTTTTTATAGTAACAAATTTTATTTCATGTGATCAAATAATAAAAATGGTTAATAGCTGTATAAATTTAATATTATTTATAAAACTTCTTTTAATAAACCATTGTAAAGGTAAATTTACTTTATTATAAAATTCATGCTAAATAAACTAGTAATGTGTTTGGAAACTAATTATTAAAGGCTAAATGATTTTTCATACATTTCTTTGCTATTTGGACCAAATAATGTTTTACTAGGCTTTTTCTTATTTGCAGTTTCACCTCTTTATTACCAAATTTTGTTTTCCCGAAATTTACTTCAAAATCATAATCCCATAACTCCGGTTCAAGTGTATCTATCAATGGCGAATGTTGTAAAATGTTCATCTACAGGAGTGAGTATCTTCATCAAATAAAATGGAATTTTTATGTTTTATGATTAGATGAATAATGGGCATTTTGATTGAAATAAGGAGTAATTAAAGTCAAAAAAAAAAAAAAAAAAAGGGATGAGTCGTGGGTAATAATATGAAACACAAAAGTTAGAATTAAGTTTGTATTTCGGCGGTCATATCGATAAAATTTTCACACGTTTTAAAAATAAAAGGCGGGTCACCAAGTCATTTTCGAATTCTGATGTTACGAGAACCGAAGTCGAGTTTCGTGATTTTTGACAGGTTCGAACCTTACGGAGTACTAATAGAGATATTGTAGAATTTCTTATTTAGTAATTTTACTTAAACATATTTTTTAAAAATTTATATAAGGATTTTTATTTTAATAAGACGATAATTAAAAAAATTTTACGAGATTACAGTTTTATGAGGTAGGAGAAAATAGTTATTGTTGAAGCAAAAAGCTTTTTTCATTAAATTAATAATTTATAAATTTAATCTACATTGTTAAGGGGACTTCATCTTCTGGCTTAGCTACTACTCCTTTATAGTACGCAATTTTAAGCTCTTTATCCTTTTTTTTTAAAAAAAAATTAATTTAAAATATAACTCAAGTATAATATGCAAAAAAGCCGATCTTTTTTATTATTTTAAACCATTGTATTAGAAAATTTTTATTATATTAAGAGCCAGTGTAGCATGTTTAGCGAGAAATACTGCTGGTGAAGAGTTTTTTTTTTTTTTTTTTTGAAAATGAAGACGATTTTATTTTATTTTTTGATCTTTTTTAAATTTATTTAAGAATGTACCTTATTTCACAATAGCAAGATGTAAATCAACTATATTTTTCATAAACATGTCATTATTTATTTCTTTATAACAAAAAAAAAATTTTTTTTATATCAAATCTTTTTTTTTGAAGTTAAATCATTTTTTGGAAGTATCTTGTACTTGCTGCTTGGCCTTAAAAAAAGTAATCTAATATATAAATTAAATAATGTATGCAGGTGTTTGTACTGTAGATCTGAATATTCATTTGATATCCAAATAAGGCTAATTACAAGTAAGTAAGTATCAAGCGTGATATTTAAATAAAGTACAGTAAATCAAAACATCCATCTTTCCTCTCCTAATTGATAAAATTTCAGAATATTTTTCGAGAATTCTTATAATTACGTACGATTTCACAAATAATGAATTATTTCACTATTGAAGAATTTCGTAAGGATCCAACTTTATAAATTATTTTTAACCAATCATCTTTTAGATCAACGTAATTTATTTTATTTATTTGTAGATATATTTACAGAAATATTAGCATTAACCGGTGGAATTTTAATATTTCTCAATGTATATACAACTTATCATTTAATTTATTTAATAATAGCAAATTCTGACTCAATTGTTTATTTAATTAGGGAAAAAATAAAACGACGACGTTTGTAGTTCTACTTAAATTATTAGATTTTTTTTCGGACGTGGCATTTTCAATAAATATTATAAATACTGTTCCAGACTTATTTTTCCAAGGTATTCATTCTTCTTAATAAGAAAATATTTTATTTAGAGCAGATTTCAAAGATTCGAATCCTTTTTTTGTTTATTTTAGCTTCATGACATTAGTAGTACCAGCAGTACTTAACCTTTTGTTTGTACTTGGAGTTATGATGCGACAAACTCAACAAACTAATAAAAGGAAGTTTAGGGATTGGTTAAGGAAAAATATTATTATGACAACAATAATCACAATATTATCGATGGTAGATATAATGAATATGAAATTACTCGTCAATATTACTCTCTTTAATCCTGAAGTAAGAAAATGGCTACTCGGAGCCGGAATATTCAATATCATTAAAGAAATGCCTCAATTTGTTATTCTTGTAAGTATATATCATAATTTGGTAATGTGGTAAATTCACAAATTAATTGATTTTCTTTATAATTTTGTCTTGGAATTAGATACTTTATATCAGGGATGTAGGAATAAATACGTTATTAGTATTGACACTATTTACAAGTTTCACAAGTTTATTATTCAGTATAATCTATGAAATATATCATATGATTCAGAAGTAAATCATGTTGTTTAGAACTTTCACTTTGTGATAAACTAAGATTAATTTAAGATAGATTGAGCAATTTAGGATAAATTTATGATTTTTTTTTGATCTCAAAATATTACCTTAAAATTCTTTTTTAGTAATATATAGATAGAATTTTTTAACTTAAATAACATTGGATATGAGATTAAATACCTTTTTGAATAAATAGTACAAAAATTTTAACGTGAATATTATTGATTATTACTTACAAAGGTTTCTTTGTGGAGTGAATTCATATTAGATTGTGCCTGCAATTAAGTTCGTTATCAGAAAAGAACCTCTATTGTACTATTTCTTTGGCTCATTTTTTTTAAAAAAGTAAAAAATAATGATGTGAGACTCACGATTATGCGAGTGAAAAGGTTATGAGGCATACTTTTTTTTTTAATAAAAAAGGTAAGGAAAAAAAAAAGCTTGAATTTTTTTCTCTTTTTGTGTACATTTTGAAACTTGGTAAACTTGTGCCACTAAAAGTGGCGAGTATTTTGGATTGCGATTACGCAATAAGGCGCGTGTTTTGTGTCACATGAAAAGGATGACGTTGTTCCATAAAGCTACACAAGAAAAGTTTCATGTTTTGTTATGGACAATTTAAACTTTCTAATACGCGAGAGCTATAATTAAATCATGTGACACATGATAATTCACAATGCCTTTAAAATTAGCTGTAAAATGAAACCTTATATAATCCAATTTATTTCCCAATTAATATTTAGCATTCTTTATAGCTATTGGTGACTTCATCAACCGAAAGAACAACATGACTTACCGGACCGGTGTAAAGTTTGGTAATTGGAAAATGCATTAACGTTCTCTGTGGAGAAAGGTTAAGGTAAGGTTTTTCAATCGACTTTCATATTTTGCTTCACACGATAAGAAATTCTTACGATGTGTTATATGGTATGGGACCTTTGCAATAGAATGGGGGAAGCTGCCGGGAAAAATAAAAACATATTTCAGCCTTAAATCATATTTGGCATATTAAAAGTAAAATTGATTTTTCCCCCGTTAATGAATGATATACTGTATGTATACAATATACCAAAAAAAAAAAGTTTGCAAAAAATGAACGGCTCGTGATTCGTTCGATTTTCAAAAATTTTTTATATATTTTGTAATAAATAAATTTTTCGTCGGAGACTTCATTTTTACAAAAAAAATATATTTTTTTTTGCAACAAATGAATTTATCAAGCGTCAAAGGCGTCATTTTTTACAAATAAAAAATTATTTTGTGCATATAGTGGACGACACGGACATTTTTGCAAAAAATGTTTTTTTTTTTTTTTTTTGCAATTAATGAATGCTTCATTCGTTGGAGGTGTCATTTATTTCTATAATCAAACTTTGAACGCCCGAACATCGGAGGCATTCTTTTATTTTCAAGTATTTTTTTTTTTGAATTAATGAACGCCTCATACGTTGGAGATACTCATTTATTTGCAAAATCAAACTTTTGCCAATAAATTAACGCATCAAACGTTAGGGGCATTAAATCGGAATCCAGTGTCAGTTTTAAGTAGCCATCCTGCTGAAAAATTTTTCTATGCTTAAATTTATTTATTATAAGATATTTAATGTACAAAAATTTATTGAAACAGTACTAAATATTAAATAAATTTATTACTTTTGTTTAAAAAACAATAATATATCGATACGTTACACGACACGTGATATATTGTCATTAGATTTGTTCATTTCTTTTTTTTTTTTGAAGTTTCCGATAAGTTACCCGATGGTTCACGGAGTTTCCTAAGCAATTAATTTCCTACGCTCATCTAGTAGCTCTAAGCTTGTTCATTTCCGTTCGGTTAGATTTTGTTCTGTTGAGATTTAACTTGATTGGTCTGTGTTTTGTCATGTCACAACCTTTTGGACCAATAATTATTAGATTTTTAATTCGCTCACATTAAACCAATAGGATTGATAACTTCAAACTTACCTAAAAATCCAACCAACCTGAAATAATGAATAGGCCTACTATTTGTTATTGTAATTGTTTTAAATTTCATTGATTATTGCACGCATGCGGACAGACAGACCATTTACCGCTTCGGACAATAATTACTTACAGTTTTTGCGAAAAATTATTTCAAACAACAATAAAAATTACTTGAAAAATAGTTAGCAGACTGATTTTATTCATGGATATTATACTGTATTGGTCGTAGCTTAGACTATAATGAAGTTCGAAAAATACACTAATTGTAACCTTAAATTCTAAAATACATATTTTAAGTTATATAATAAACCATATATTCGAGTAAAATTCTAGAGCAAAAAAGAATTTCACATCGGTAAAGAAAGAAACTACAAAATTTTTCTTAGTAAAAGTTAAAGTGACGTAATTTCGTCACCAGTTACTTTAATTATTCTTAATGTCAAATTATAAATTATACTGAATGTATCTCGTTTAATTAATGAAACTATATTGGCTATTACTTTGGTTTTGGTAAACAATCAAGTGAAAAAAATTTTTTATCAATAAGGCGGTTCTTCTCACATTCTGACTAGGGAAGATAAGAATTTTTTTTTTATTGTAAATGCAAATGAATTATCAGCTGTTTCTAAGGTTAAAGTCACCTTAGATTCTTAAATCGTTATAAAGTTTGTTTAATAACAACAAAATCAGAAAGATCGTCATCTTAAAATAACTAATTCAAAAAAAAAGGTCGTCGGCGCCGCCTTTTGTTATCTTAAAATGATGTCTTGTAAAGTTTTGGAAAAAAATTTCCATAGGTTAAAAAAAAAATTTATACCGCTATATGACAAATAAAGCAATGCTAAAATTTCCCTTTATAACTCAAAAGATCCATATCATCCGTATTAATAATTCTTATGTATGTTTGACAATAAATAAAAATTAAACCGCCTTATTAAATAATATTAAATGATCCAAATGTTTAAAGAAATAAGTTCCAAATCAAAAGGGTGGTAATATATTCGATCGTTGTTATTTAAAATGAAAAGTAAATCAAATGAAAAAATCGAAAAAATGTAAACGGAAATAATACTTTTACAATTTGAAAGGATATAAAATGAAAATAATTCAATTGCTGAAACCTATCCCATCTAAAAAAATAAAAATATAAAAGCCTTAAAGATGAAAAAAAAAGAAAAGAAAAGTTCCTATCAATGCGGCCTTTATCAATTATAAGTAACAGAATAATATTTTTTTATCTTTTTTATCAAAAATCTTAGATAAAAAGAATATTTTCGGAAACATTTCAAAAACAATAAGTAAAATGGTACGAGATTTTCAGCATTCTAAATAAATTCTCCCGTATTTGGTCAAACTAGTAATATTTTTTAAATATCGTTTTTCAAAGAAAATGAATCTTAAATTTTAAAAATGCAGATTTAGGTAGAAAACGTGTTCTGTATTGTCAGAAAATATAGTATTAAGTATTGGTCTTTATTTTTTACACAGGATATTTTTTTTATTGAGCTAACGTTAAAAATTAAATTATTTAATTTTTTTTGCGCGATTTAATTAGTACATTTCTTTGATATTCAAAGTCAGTTCTGATTATGCTCAAACAAAAAATTGAGACCTCTTGTGTAACATTAATAGTTTAGGTCAAGCATTTGCTTTTTTATTAATATTATAATTTCCATAAAAATTACTTCTTTTTATAATTAAAATTAGTAATAACAATTGTAAGAAATTAAAAGCCCAAATGTCGAAATATTTCGACTTTGGAGGTTCAAAGTCAAAATTAAAATCGAAATGGTATCGTCACATATAATTTTTAAAAACAAAGGGGCCCGGTTTCTGAGATTGACTGATCCGAAATCGATGAATGTTGGCTCATTGAATAGTAGTTGATTCAGGCAATAATGATCGAAACCGAACATTTTATTTTATTTGTATATATTAAAATTCATGTGATATGATTAAGAACATTTCTACTACTAGGATATCATGTTTCAATTATAATTACAGATAATATAATCAACTTATGAAATTACTATTTACGGCTTATTAATTTGTAAATCAATTTAATTACGTTTAATATTTAAATGTAACACAAATTTGATGATGCCATCAATCAAGTGATAGTTTGGGAAATAAGATCTTTATTTTTTTCAAATATAAAAGACTCAGATTCCAATTTACTCAAAATTCAAGAAAATAAAAACATCTCACTATATTCGACCGATTATATTTCAAGAGATATATATATATATTGCAAAAAAAATAATAATCATGAAACGAAATTTAACTTTTGTATTCTTTTTGTTGTTTACTCTTTCCGTGATCAGAGCATTTCCACACCAACTTAAAAAGAGATCTACTGCCTTTGGTCTATGTCCTCCTAAAGATGGTACGACACCACCTTTAATCTCTGTAGAACTTGTTCCTGATCCTGTTCTTCCAGGACAAAATGCTGTTTTTGTTGTCTCCGGAACTTTAGAGGAAGATATCATATCATCAACCCAACTTGTTGCTTATTATAGTAATCCTGATAATAATCGCTCCGTAAGCGATCCTTTTACTCACTCATTTTGTGGTGGAAGTGGGTGTCCAATTCAAGCTAATACAGAATTTACAAAATTCATGAGTAATACGGCACCAGAAATCTTAACTGTTCCATACGGCATTGTGGTTAATGTTGTAGATGTAACTAACAAAACACTAGGCTGCGCAACTGCCTTAATTCAGCTCTAATGATTCTTTTTTATTTTAAATTTGTTAGTATTTTTTATTTTATACATCATTTTTAATTCGTGTTACCATAGAGGAAGTGAAAATTATAACTAATTATGAATAGACGAACTATTAGGCATTTATAAGACAATATTAACCGA